ATCCTGGCATCCTGACATACACACACAAACACACACATATTACCACACACACACTTTCATGCACCGCCACCCTTGACCCATGTTCGATTTCCCCTGCTGCTTGATGAGCTGCAGTTGTCAGCTGTGATCAAAACCAGCCTGCCCTGCATCCTGATCTTCCACCTTCCTCCTCCTGAAACTCTTCAAAGCGTCTGATCCATCTCGATAAGATGTGTTAAAACATATTCTGTTTCTCCGCGGCGTACCTTAACATCTCGACCTGATTAAACCGGTCTCATCTGTAGATTAAGAGGGAAAAAAAGATTGCTTTAGCTCTGCTTAAATTAAAGGTCTGATTTCCACAAGGATATCGACACTACAGCGGCAGTGGAGGTATTTAACAGAGCTAAAACAGACCGAACAAACCAAAGCAATGGAATAGAGAAAAATCACAAAAGTACAACAAGAGATTTACAATAGAAGTGAACTCCAAGTGAAAACTGGAAGAGAGAAAAGCATCTAATTGTGTGTGCCGGGCCCTGATGGATAAATCCTTTTCACCTTTAAGTCTCCTGTCTGCACACCATCTTACAGGAAATTAAAAGATTTGTGATACAGGTCCAGGCCGAGCAATCTTTTACAGGTCATATGGCAGATTTTTTTTTTTTTTAAATCCCCCACTGACCAGAAAACAGTGAAGACATGCCAGAGAGACCTGATTCAGTCTGTTGGGATTCAGTTAGCTTTATTTACATCAAGCTGGATGTATTAGTCAAAGTCAAAGTCAACTTTATTGTCAATTTCAAAATATACCAGACATACAGTGGAATCGAAATTGCGTTTGTCTCCGCCCCGTGGTGCAATACAACCAAAATAAGGTAAAAAAGAGATAAGGTAAAATAGATCAAATAAAATGAGGTAAAAATAAGATAAATAATATTTACAGTAATACATTCTAAATTGTGCAAAAGGTAGAAAATGGTAAATAAAATAAATAAAATAAAATAAAATAAAATTTAAAGAAAAAGTAAACTTGTGCAACATGTGCAATGTGCAGTAAACTGAGTGTACTTTTGAATAGTTAGCTTCAGAGTTATTCGGCCAGAGTTCTGTAAACTTGTGCAATGTGCAGTAAACTGAGAGGGGAGGGGAGGAAGAGAGGGGAGAGAGTTAAGCTTCCTGACAGCTTGGTGGAAGAAGCTGTTTCCAAGTCTGGTGGAGCCGGCCCGCAGGCTGCGGTACCGTCTCCCCCGATGGCAGGAGGCTGAGGAGGCTGTGTGAGGGGTGGGTGGGGTCACGCACAATGCTGGTTGCTTTGCGGGTGAGGCGGGTACCGTAGAGGTCCAGAAGAGAGGGGAGTGGGACATCGATAATCCGTTCAGCGGCCTTCACTGTGCACTGCAGGGTCTTGCGGTTGGCAGCACTGCAGCTCCCAAGCCACACAGTGATGCAGCTGGTCAGGATGCTCTCGATGGTGCCTCTGTAGAAGGAGCACATGATGGATGGGGGGGCTCGTGCTCTCTTCAGCTTGCGGAGGAAGTAGAGGTGCTGCTGGGACTTCTTGGCCAGTGATGTGGTGTTGGTTGTCCAGGAGAGATCCTCACTGATATGAAACCCCAGGAACTTGGTGCTGCTCACTCTCTCCACAGCAGCACCGTCGATGGTCAGTGGGGGTTTAGGAGTGGGGACTCTCCGGAAGTCGACAACAACCTCCTTGGTCTTGTCGACATTCAGGAAGAGGTTGTTGTCTCTGCACCACGTGGCCAGTTGGCTGACCTCCATCCTGTAGTGCGTCTCATCGTTGTTGGAGATGAGACCAACCACTGTCGTCCGCAAACTTCACAATGTGGTTGCTGCTGAAGGATGGAGCGCAGTCGTGGGTCAGCAGCGTGAAGAGCAGGGGGCTGAGCACACAACCTTGGGGGGCCCCCGTGCTCATGACGGTGGTTTTTGATGTGCTGACGCCGACCCGCACTGTCTGAGGCCTCTTGCTGAGGAAGTCCAGCAGCCAGTTGCACAGGGAAGTGCTGAGCCCCAGCTGGTCCAGTTTGCCGATCAGCTGCTGAGGGATGATGGTGTTGAATGCTGAACTGAAGTCTATGAACAGCATTCTGACGTATGAGTTTTTGGTGTTCAGGTGGGTGAGGGCTGGTTGAAGAGCAGAACAGATGACATCCTCGGTGGATCTGTTACCTCGGTATGCAAACTGGTAGGGGTCCAGGGTGGCGGGGAGGGTGGATTTGATGTGGACCATGACTAACCTTTCAAAGCACTTCATGGCGATGGGGGTCAGTGCAACGGGTCGATAGTCATTGAAAGTGGATGGTGAGGGCTTCTTTGGAACGGGTAAGATGGTGGTGGCTTTGAAGCACGACGGAACAACAGCCTGACTCAGAGAAGCATTGAAAATGTCTGTGAAGACATCTTTGAGCTCCTCTGCACAGTCCTTCAGCACACGGCCAGGAATGTTGTCTGGACCTGTAGCCTTGCGGGTGTTGATCTTGGAGAAGGTTCTTCATGCTGGATGCAGTCAGGCACAGGGTCTAGTCGTGGGTAGTCGGGGGGGGTCTTCTGTGGGGGCGTGCTGTTGTGTGCTTCAAACCTGGCAAAGAAGCTGTTGAGGTCGTTCAGCAGAGAGGTGTTGCTGTCACAGGTCTGTGGCATTGGGTTTGTAGTCCGTGATGGTCTGGATAGCACGCCACAGGCTCTGCGCGTCTCTGCTGTCCTTGAAGTGTCCGGTTATTTTTAGTGTGTAGCTGCGTTTGGCTTCCCTGATGCTACGGGACAGGTTGGCCCTCGCTGTTCTCAGGCAGGCTGCGTCCCAGCTCTGAAGGCGGTGTTCCTGGCCCTCAGTAGCCGCGTACCTCTCCTGTCAGCCATGGCTTCTGGTTAGCCCGGGTGGTGATGGTTCTGGTGGTGGTGACATCAGCAATGCATTTGCTAATGCAGGAGGTAACAGTGTCAGAATACTCCTCAATGTCTGTGTGGTTGTTGTAGGTGGCTGCCTGCTTAAACATCTCCCAGTCTGTGGTGTCAAAGCAGTCTTGTAGTGCAGCAGAGGCCCCCTCTGGCCACACACATACCTGCTTCAGAACTGGTTTGGTGACTTTAACCCTGGGTCTGTAAGCTGGCATTAGCATTACACTGATATGGTCAGAGTGGCCGATGTAGGGGAGGGGTGAAGCTTTGTAAGCACCTTTAACTGATGTGTAAATCATGTCCAGAATGTTACCTTCTCTTGTGGGAAAGGTCACGTGTTGGTGGAAGTGGGGTAAAACCGTCTTGAGATTTGCATGGTTAAAATCCCCAGCGATGATGAAAAATCCGTCTGGGTGGGCTGTCTGTTGCTCACTGATGGCGTTGTAAAGTTCCCAAAGTGCGTCGATTCTATCAGCGTTGTTGGTGGTGGGGGGAATATACACAGCGACCAGCAAGGTCGTTATCTCTCTCGGTTGATAGAAAGGACGGCACTTTACGATCATAAACTCCGCCAGCGGTGAACAGTGTTTACATACCACAGCAGCATCTCGACACCAAGCATCACTGATGTAAACACAGACTCCACCACCTTTCTTCTTTCCTCCTTTAATAAGGATTCTGTCCGAACGGTAGCATGTGAATTGTTCAAGCTTAACGGCGGAGTCTGGGATGCGTTCGTTCAGCCATGTATCTGTGAAAATGTACGCACAGCCGTCCCTCACGTCGCGGTGCGCAGCTCTCAGTAGCTCTATATGGTCCGTTTTATTGTCCAGAGATCTTACATTTGCCAGTAGAAGAGTTGGAAGAGCGGACCTGTGTGGTATTTTAGCCAGTCTCACTCTTATGCCTCCACGTTTACCTCGCTTTTGTTTCCGCTCGCACCGTTTACGTTTACGTCTCCTCACCGGGGGGTAAACCGGCTCGCGAAGCAGTCCCAAAGTTTGAAGCTGTTGTCTCAGTGATTCGGGTAATAACTCCACGGTTCCTGAAGGGGAAAAGCTGAATAGAGGATGGATGTATTAGTTTCACTGGGGTGTGAAGGTAAAACGTTTGTTCTGGGGACTGTTGAGTTAATCACAGGTTATATGCTTTGTCTATTGTTGCATCATTGCATTAATTAGTGGCCGTTTTCAAAGTGGATCTGTGTGGAATAATTAAGATGTTTTTGTGCAAAAATGAAGATTTCTTTTAATTAAGTAATCTGTCAAAGATATGCAAATCTATCTGCAAAATGAATGTGAATTCAGGAGACGTGAATTTATCTTTATATGTGCATACAAACTACTGCCAACTTCTTTTTTAATAATTGGTTATTTTTTAGTCTGCAATTAAAATGTTGTTAAAAATAAAGAATTATCTCCAGTCCAACGATTTCGCCTGACTAATAGAACACAGGAACATTGAGTTACCAATGATATAAGAAGAGAGAGAAAAGCTGAAACTCCTCACATTGGAGAGATTAATCAGAATCAGAAATACTTTATTATTCCCATTCAGTCGTGAGACTATCTGAAGAATAATAAGCTAAGAACAAAGCTCAGGGAATTGAATATATAAGTAATCTTTACAAATATAAATATACAAAATGTGCTTTGTTGGAGAGTGTAGATATTGCTGCACAGTTAAACAGATCGCACAAAGAGCAGAGGATGTGTGTGAGAAAGTGTTTCCATTAAATGATGTATGAGGAGATCAATGGCCTTAATAACTATACATATCCCATAACCCATGAGCAGTGGCTCTCAACTGGTGGATCTGGACCCAAAAGTGGGTCGCAGAGCCGCTTTCAGTGGGTCGGGTAATGTGTGCCCGGAAAAGAAATAGTCTCATAAAGTCTGTGAATCAACATGTTTGTTTCATTCTGTTTCCATGTTCTGTCACATTTGCATCGTCTGAGGTCCAAACTGTTCAACTTTCTATTAAATGAATCTGATTGGTTGAAAAGTATCTTGAATGTGATTTTTCATGAAACAGTTAGTCCTGAGGCTCCACCGGTTCAGAACCACTATTTTAAAATGCTATTTTTTCCCCTGTTCTTGCAGGTGAATGCTACCTGATGGAGTGGTCGGACTGGAGCTTGTGTGTGAGTATCTGTGTGAAGGGGGCCGGCGTGGACTTTGGTTCGGTTCAGGTTCGCTCTCGAGCCGTTTTGGCCCAGGAGCCTGAAAACCTGCAGCTGTGTCCAGACCAGTCCTGGGAGTCTCAGCCCTGCACAGGTGGGAATATGTCTCAAAACAGGTGTCTTTAACCTGCTTTTTTTTTATCCCCTCAGCAAATTTTCAAAATGGCCATTTGAATACAGAGAAAAATAATTTTGGGTTGTTTTTTTTGCCTTTATAAGCACTAATAATAATAATAATAATAATAATGATAATATAAGCATAGGACAGCTGAAGCAGCATCAGCTCGTGGTGGGGGGCACAATGTAGAGCGTTAATTAACACAAACATCTACCATGACTTCATGTTTTCCTGTGACACTGGGTCAATTGGCGCTCTCTCCCAGATGGGATTTCTTGAGTTAGATCTCTCGTTTACTGTAGTAATATCTGCAGCTCCCCGGGCGCGTTAATCATCCATTAGGTGCAAGGCAGGCTGTGAATCACCACCACCAAAGCTCGTTGCATACAGTCGCCATCGGCTCAGTGTGTAAAGCCGGCACCAACAACCCCCCTACCCTCCTCAGTGGCCTCCTACCCTCCTTCCCCGCCCTCCTTGGCTACTCTACACAGCCCCATAGCAGTCTTCAGCAGCCTGACCTGGTTTCACAGCATCACTTGAGGAAGAGAGAGAGGGGAGGGGGAGGAGGAGGAGGCCCAGCCAAGAGCAGAAAAGGCGGGGGAGGACGAGAGAGTAGAAGGAAGGGCGGTGACGAAGGAAGAGGAGGCTGGGGACAGAGCATGACAGATCAAATAGATACATCAAAAAATACTTTTGTGGGGGCGCTCTGCTGGTCCTAATGGTTAAGGCATATACCACAGGACTCCTTTGATTCACAGCCATCTCTCAACCCACGATCCCAGTTTGTCCTTGTTGGCCTTTATTTTGTTTTTTTCAGTTTGTGAATGTTCTTTATGCTTTATGCGGATGGTGACTTTCCTCACGGCTTTATTAAATCCATGTATTTCATTCAACTAGTAGCTTATCATTTGAAGGTCACATATTCTCCTCTTCAAGTGTAAATAAGTCTCAGAGCTCAACAAAACATGTGTGTGAAGTTTCTTGTTCTAAATCCACTCTGATCCTGTATTTGATCATGCCTATAAACCCCTCTATTTCAGCCCTGCTCAGAACATGCTGTTTCTGTGTCTGTATGTTTAAATGTAAATGAGCTGTGTCTGACCACGCCTCCTCTCTGGAAGGCTATTGGGCTCGGGCTTTCTCGCGCCATGTCCTATTGTTTACGGTGAGAAGACAGACTCAGAGGGCAGAACAAACACCTAGCTGTGGGAGTGTCACCCACCTGGGGAAGGGGTTACTGCCCTTTGTGATGTCATGAAGGGAAAATCGCCAAACGGCCTGTTTGAGCACACATTTTCTGAAAAGTGGAGCAGGCAAAAGACAGAGAGGAAGGACTTTTCTCATCATTGGGGGGTTTGTAGACAGATTAGAGACACATATTAGTGTTAGAGGAACATGGAGAAGTGGATTTTGCAGAATATGTGACCTTAAAGACTAACATGTCAGTTTTTAAATAACAGCACTTAACGGACTTAAAAAACAGTACCCTTAACATGCACCCTATTTCTTCAGCTCTCTGTGATTTGTGCTCCTAAAAACAGACATAGGAATCATTTCTGCAGACTGAGTGTTCTCAGTTAAAACTGTCATACCTGAATTCCTGCGACTTTTTCCATCGCTCCAAATGTTAATGTATCTCGGTTCTGCAATGGCATCGACAAATGAAGTTATAAGTGGCTCCTGACATCCTAAGAATTTTTGTACGAAGCCTGTTCCAGTGAAGTCTTTCACATCATACTCCCACCACTCCTGGCTCTGACTCTGTATCCACACACACCTCCTCACAGAGCTAGCAGCAATGAGAAGCAGCTGAGTCTCTTTCTCCTCGTCTTCGTTATCACCTGCTCACAACCTCTCTGCCTCCCTCTGCACATCAGTGTAAATATAAAACTGTAAACACTGACTGCTGTGACCTCCATGTTTTCCTCCAATGTGACAGCTCGGGACAACTTCTCTATTCTTCTTTTGTGCCTGTGGGTCATTTCAGGACCATGACCGGCTCACTCTGAAATCTGATATAAGCCCTTAAGGCTCACAGTGTGAACCTAGTGTGAGCGCAGCCCGTTTATATCAATGAGGTTATAAAGAGGGTTTTTAAAGTTAATAGGCTTGATAATCAGCAATCTCCCCTCAAAGCCCAGCAGAGACTTAGTTATATTTCAAAGAATCCTCTGATTTTAATACAACTGCTGAATAATATCAGCTTCTAGAGCAGCTCTGTTCTTCAGCTGTAAAAAAAAAAAGTCCAATCTGCTCGTAAAAGATGGTGGGAAGCTTCCGGCTGAAGTGGGTGATTCAGTGATAATGTGTCTGGTTTGAGGAAGCCGTACCACAGCGAGAGACAAAACGAATGGAAAAGAAATGAGAAAAGTGGAGAACACAAAGGGTGAAGTTGTCTGAGCCGCAGACAAATCGTCCAGTGAAAGCCGCGGCAGATAGAGCCGTGCCATCGACTTCAGCTGTGATACTGTACCAATCGCCTGAGGGGAATAGATCGGCCCTTTGTCCAAGGTTAAATTGTTCATTTACGTTCGCCAAATGGGCCGGGCCAATGATTGGTTACACAAGACTCCGTAGGGAAATATGGTCATTTACTGCACTGATGGAGATATTGATAAAGTCATAATGGCATTGATAGAAAGTCATTAAGCAAAAGCTCTTAGTGAAGATTAAAACATTGAACCGGACCTTTCTGTGAAGATAGTTATATTATATGACAGCGGCCTATTAGACAATCATCATTTAGCAGCTGCTTTATTAATCTGTCACTCATGTGATTAACCGTCTCCGCTGCTGACTCTCACTGCTCAGACTTTATACGTGTTTGTTTTTTATTTTGCTCTCAGGGGGGCGAATGTTACGAGTACAAATGGTTCAGCAGTGGAAACGCCAGCCGGCCTTTAATCTGGTGTCAGCGCTCGGATGGACTCAATGTCACCGGTAAGAAACTCTAACATGCAGCAGAGACCCTTTGACTGTTTGTTTGTTCATGTATGATAACAATAAAAACACAAGTTGTCCCTGATAGGGAAGTGGGTTATTAAAGGAGCAGTATGTAAATCTGACACCTAGTGTTTAAAATGGGTACTGCAGTCCAAATTCAAAACATTGTAGAGAGCTGTCTCCCCCCGCCCCCTCCTCTCTAGAGTCGATGCTCACGCAGGTTGCCATGTGATGGACACTGAAGCTTCAGTGTTTAGCCAGCTCTGCATGGGTCTGTAAACCTTTCTGTGTTCTAACCTCTCTCCATTTTTCAAAAGCATCTCCAATATTGATCCTAGTTTGAGCACGTTTCTGCTCGTGGAGCTTATTAGAAACATGCAGAGGCTTTTTAGGTCGGGTACAATCACTTCTATCTGAACCAGTTCTCTTGCCCGCTTCCATCGCTGCAACACCTGTTGGTTTGACCTGATAACTGCTCTCATGTCTGGCAAACGCCCAAAACGGCCGTGTGTGGGGGGTCGCCTTAAAACTGCCTACCTTCTCTGGTCCAAACAAATCCAGAGCATTCAGGACCAGAATCTAAAGCTAGAAGGAGGACATACTGGCTGCTGCATTGTTGTCAGAGTAGCCAGCACTTCAACACAGCATGTTTCCTTAATGTCTGATCATATAGTCATATAAGGTCACTTTATCATTTCTGTCAGTAGATATCTTACAGATTGCTCCTTTAAGACCCAGTTCAGCATTTTAAAAACCTGAAAATCAATATTATTTGACCTTATCGTTACTGCTATCAAGTCAGTTGTTCACCTTAATCAAATCACTGGTGCACAAATGTGCTGTACATCGATTGGCTCAAGTGTTTGAATAAAATCAGTCCGCTTGGATACTTTAAAGAGACTGAAAACATTTTTCAAGCTGTTGTAGGTAAGTTTTCTCGTGTTAACCTCAGTAATTAAGGGTCTTGTTGTTTCAGCTAAAATGTGAAGACAGCATGTGAGGTGTAGCTCTGAACTTTTTATTTTATGATTCATATTGAAGCTGAATTCATTCTAATTCAGAGGCTGCAGCCCTTCGTTCAGCAGCTTTATGTAGGAGGTAAAATGTATACAAGGAATGTCAGCTACACTGTGTTAAAAAAAAACAGGGACTTCAATCTATAAGGAGCAAGAGGTGGTGGGCGAAGGCAGCGTGAGCAGGTTTTCAGCACGTGAACATGTGGTCTCTGAACCTCCAGTAGTTTCAAATATAACCCCTGACTTTTTATTTCAGTTAAAGGAGTGAATGAACAAACTTGTAACGGTTTTCATTTTGTATTTCCACTCATTTCCATTTATCAAACTATGCGAATATTTTGGGGGGGGATCCTGAGGACAGCTGAGCCTGCACCTTTATGGGATGTCAGTTACCACGGTAACTGTGCCAGAGTTGGAGTTGAACGCAGTTTCTGGGCAGTGAAAGACAGCTGGAGTTTCAGTCGACTCATCTCAGAGTTCTTCTTCACCCCGGGTCTTTCGCTTGGTGCTACATTTGAGATTTTTTTTTCTGATACTTTATTAACCCCACAAAGGGAAATTCAATTTTACACTCTTTTGTTGAACATGCTACACACACACACACAGGGTTGGAACAAACACACACGTGCACAAACAGGATCTTTTGAACATGCACTAATGGAGAGATGTCAGCATGAGGGGGCTGCACACAGCGAGCGCTCCTGAGCTGATGGAGGGTTTAGTGCCTTGCTCAAGGGCAGTGCTCAGGAAGTGAACTGGCCCCTCTCCAGCTATCAGACCAATTACCAGACTTGGTCCTCACCGGGACTTGAACTGATGACCCTCCCGTTTCCAACTCAAGTCCTTACAAATGAG